TCAAACAATTATAATTATGTGTGAATATGTGTTTTGGTAGTAAGTGACTGTTCGCAAAATATCACCTTTCCAAGACTACCAAAGTAGAGGTTATATTAAAAAAACTGCTATGATAAGTAACACTTTATCACCCTGTATCTTGGAAACATAAGTATTTAGGAAAAATATTTATTTGGGTTTTCGTATTATTTTAACTTGTTCAATCTTTCCCTAAATTTATGCCAATAAGTTTAGGGACACCTTGTATATATAAATCAAAAAAAAGTTTAAAGTCTCAGGTTAACAGAATTAAAGTAATTTTACATAAACATAAATAATTTAAATATGGCATATGATAATTTATTGTATTTTATTTGAAAATATTTGAAATTTTTTATTAGTGTTATTTTTGATCGCTGATATCTTTGAAACGGTTGATCTGAAGAGCTTTTTTTTATAGCGTGAAATTGTCTCCTGTCTCCTGTCGCTTGGATGTTGCGAAAACAAACCATTTCAAAGTTATAAAAATTCAAAATTAAAAAAATTCAAATTCCCGTGTTATTAAAATGGAAAAACAACAAATTAATTGAGGCAAACCTTAATATTAATATTAAGGGCTTAAATAGGCGCCAACATTTTTGCTTTTTAATGTACTATTAATTTTTCAACACCATTAGAAAAAAAACTAACTATCGTCCTGCTACTAAAACTTGGGACACCCTGTATATACGTATTTTATTTCTTTTAAACTCAAATAATTATGAGATATATCTTAAGGCTGCATTGGGGTTACCTTTTAGGGAAATTTTTAAATACTTTGATTCCTTTAAAAACTCCAAGATATAATCTTCCTCCAAAATAACGTCCTCTTTATCTCTAAAGAGAATGTTTGTGACATCTATGTCAGTTAATGTCGGAAACTTATTTTTTGCTAAAAAAGTATTCAGAGATTAAAAACAAAATCAATTTGTTTATAATTAGCTGGTACGCACAAAGGGACTTTTTTGTCCGATTTAGCTGTTAAATTCGATCATTTTTCGATAGAAATATGATGCATTATAGAGTATTAATAAACCCAAACACATGGATAAATACATATTCCATTGCTCTTTTTATTTCGCTCACAGGTTTATTCAGAAAATAAACTTTATTGTCTGTGCCTACACAGAAAGAAATAGAATGCAAAAAACTTGTTTAGTTCTAATATTAATTTCAGTCCTAAACTTTTGATAAAAAATAAAGTTAAATATACTTAGTACAAATTGGTGTAAAGTTAACTTTATATTTTTGTCAAACTTATTAAAAATATTTAAATTTACCACAACATTTCCATAAGAACAATTTTTATTTTAGTACAATAAAACGTCTTTTTTCAAACCTTTAAATTTAATATAACCATTTATTAATTGACAATTGATCTGTATAATATCTAACAATACTGACAATTGATCTGTATAATATCTGAATAATATGAATATTAAATGTCATTTACTAAAAAGGTGGAAATAAAACAATGTAAAACTACCACTTTTTTAAATTAAGTTTTACATTTATTATTCTTAAATATACAAATTATGTTCTAAATTTTGGATTTAATTAAAATTTAAAAAAAAACTATAAAATTTTGTAAATAAAACAACATTTAAATATATATAATGTTATTGCCAATTTTGCCTTCTATTTTTTACTGTGTATGTAGGCAGAAGATAAACTTTTTAATCAAATTTCAATCAAAGTATGGAGTAATTTTCACTCGATATTGAGTAAATTAAGACGCCGGTTATTGTATGAAAATTTTGAGACTTAACAATCATTATAATTTCTATAAATACAGCCATAATAATAAGGATAAAAATTAACCAAAATATTGGAAATGTGAATCAAACATAAATAATTTTGAAGATTACACCGACCTATTCAAATTCCCAAAATTAAATAGGTACCTAGTTAGGGGTACACAGCACCGGTTACAAATAACATACATACAATTTAATATACCTACATTAATACGGAATCTAAACATTCGGAAACCTATACGTATACTAAGTCCTACTGAAAATATCTTGGGGTTGGGGTAGGTACTTACCAAGTATCAACAAATCATCATAAGATGAGATGTCCGCCTTTGCCCACTTTTTGTGGTTTTTCAATTGAAGCACAAACACAAAAATCATATTTTTTTGTAGCACTGCACTATGATTAACTATAGTTATATGTTTCTGAAAAATCCCAGGAGAAAACACAATAAATTACCAAAACGAATTGCACAATTATTGCCAACTGCAGTTTAACCTGTTGAACACCATGCATGCAGTGCAAAGGGATGATGCCAACATAAGCGCGTGAAATACAGTGCCCTGGGTATGCGCGTGACGCTATTTTACTCGAATTTTATTTAAAGTAGAGTAAATAATTATTGTATACTCAAAAATGATTTAGGTTAAATGCAAAATGAGTAAATTAATGAATTTTAATGCACTATTTGGTTAATTTTTAAAAATTACCAAATATTGGGCATAATTTCCAAAAAACTTACTCAAAAAATTAACTCTAATTTGTTTACTCAATTTCATGGGAACTTTACTCTTTACGATTTTTTACTGTGTAAGAGGGTATATAAACAACGATCAGCGGCAACGGAGCTCACTCCACGTCTAACTCGCAGCAACAGCAGCCCAGCAGATAAGACCTGAAGTTGGTACATGAGGTTCTACCTAAACGTCTTCAGACGTACGGATCATTTTCTATGGTGGATCAGTCAATGTTCTCTCTTCACCTCTTACAGTTTACTATGTGTTTCAGCCTTCTCAACAATACTTCTCCATTCCTCTTTATTTCTGATATTCCCTTTCCATCACCATATTTTCATATTTTTTAGATCACTATGTTTTTGATTTTTGAACTATATTTTCTTTGTTCATTTTTTCATCTATTTTATGACTCATTAATCTTTCTTCCTTCTCCTATTTTAACTGGTCCATGTATTTTTCTCATAATTTTTCTCTCAAAACATCTTAACTTTTCTTCCTCCTTGCTTGTCATCGTCATTGTCTCTGCCGCATATGTTACTACGGGCTTGTATATTTTTATTTTTGTTGCTTTACTTATATTGTTATTTTTTATATACTGGCTATATGCGAAATATGCTCGATTTCCCATCTGTATTCTTTGGTTAATCCTCTTTCCTGGCGTTTTTGTCATCTATTATTATTCCCAGATATTTAAAGCTAGCTACCCACCACTTAATACTCATTATTTCCTATTCTGACTATTTGCTGTTTAGCTCTATTTTTATTAAATACCATATTAAATTTTATTATAATAAAAATAATCGATCCATCCAGGTAAGTTGAAAAAATAATTTAAATTCTGAAATATTACTTGGATAAAATATGATTTATATTCCAAATATTATTTTTTTCTTTAAATATATAAAAAATAAGATAAGTTAAAATCTAAGCCTATTGCACTCTTTCTATCTAACCCATATTTCAGTATGGTGCCAAGAAATTGAAATAAATTCAAACAAACTAATCTTAAACCAACCAGTTTAGACACAATATGTCGACCCTGTGTAATAATATTTGAAAAACAACTACATAAATTAAATATTCCTTTTTGGGTTGACCTTATGTAATGATTTAAGATCCGATATTTTTATACCTTGCTCTGAGTTTCTACCTACAACGTACTGTACAGTAGGCTAAAATTAAGAAAAAAAACTTGACAAAACTCTTTGTGATCAAAATAATTTTTCAACATGAAAGGTGATCCTGGTGGTATGTACAAAACTTATATGTATTGAAGTAAGTTTTACAGCAACGAAATTAAATTTTTCAAAAACCACCTAGAACAATGGTTTAAAAACAAAAACAAACATCGCCTTTTTAGATCAGCCATTTTGAATTCTGGATTTTTTAGTCCATATTCGTAATCAGCGACCCTAAAAACCGTGGGTACAAAATTGCAGGTAAAAAAATACTTTTTAAGGAATTCTGGATTCTAACCCACTATGCAACGGCGCGAATCTGAACGATCTTGACATTGAATTTATTATTGTTAAAACAGTAGCCAGGAAAAAATAAAATAAACATTACCTACTTATTGAATGTCAAAAACTGTGTGGTAACTATCTTGTAAAATTGATTTTGTAATAATAAATTGAGGGTAATTTAAATAGGATTAAGCAACTGTATTTTTATTAGCTTATTTTATTTTCTATTTTGATATTTTAGATTATTATTATAAATAATGTTTTAAAAATAACATTAAAAATTAAACTTTGTATTTTATATTAGTCCAAGACCTGGCAATATAAACGGACATGTAATCGTTCCTAAAGACCGTTGTTACATTAAACAAAAGTTTATAGTTGCCTCAAAATCAAATTAATTCTTCTTTTTTTGCATATTTACTATTAAAATAAATTTGATTTGATTTGGTAATGAGTCAAGGTTAGTATAAAGAAGGCCTGGTAGGTGAGTATAAAGAAGACCTGGTAAAAGTTTCATGCCAAATACAGTTCAAGAAACCTTTCCTTTTGGATATCCATAAACACTCTCACGGACCTTATTATCATTAATGGCGGTCTAACAGCTTAAAGTACACTATCGAGATTCTACAGCCCCAAGTGATCCCACAAGCGAATGTTATTGGTAACAATTTTATCTTCGAGCAATATAATCCAAACCCCAAAATATTCATAAAATGGATTGGCCTGCGTGCAGTCCAGACATGAATCTGATCGAACATGTTTGGGATCACTTAGGAAGACATCTTCGAAAACGTCTTCGGAAAATCCTCTAGCTACAACCTGAGAGTTGACACACGCTCTAATTGTAGAATAAAAAAAAATTAAAAAAGAAATTTTCTAAAGGCTAATTCGTAGCATGCCACGCAGGCAAGAGGAGGCAACACTGAGTATTAAGTTAAGAATGGTTTATTACATATTTTTACTTGAATTCTAAAAAAGTGACTTCATTTTTATTGCATTATGAATAAAAATAAATAAATATACTTACAATTAAATCTAACGTGGGTAATGCACTCTATCACAGACAACTGAAAAAAATAAGAAAAAATTAGTCGAACTTATTTTGTTTCAATCGATTTCAAAAAAATTATAGATGTGTACTCTTTCGTCGCAATAGATTAAATAAAAAAAATATTGTCAAACCATTTATATTATAATAGTCGATAATTAACATAAGTACCCAACAAGCGTCATCGAATAATTTTTAATAAACGTATAGATTTACGTGTGGTGGGGTTTTGAAACATTTTAAGGAAATAAATGGTAATTTCCCTGAACTACTGTACTATGTGGATACTAATTGTTTCCGCACATTTGAAATTTAGTTAAAATTAACTGTTTTTTGTATATATTATTTTTTTGGTAAAATAATGGTTTTATACAACCAGTACTTTATACTTTTATTGAAAATCTGTAATAACCTTAAACTTTACATTAAAAATATGTAGTTGTATATTATGTAATAATTATTTTTTTATTATATGACATTCAAATCAGGCAATTTTCGACTCCTTAGATTTTAAGACAGTCTGTCGTCAAAAATTTCAAATTTATGCCTTGAAAGAAGCCAATAAAATCAGTGTAGTTTTCTTTACCTATATTCTTGTTTTACACTTTTCCGAATACCTAAAACTTATGAAAGTGAGGCAGTTTTTGAGATATAATCAATTCCATATTAAATGCAAAATTGACTATATCTTAAAAACTGTTCTACTTTTTTAATTTTTGACATTTTCGGATTCAGGGGACATTTTACATAATAATTGGCTGTTAAAATTTGTGATACCATGGTATTCCATGGTTTACCATGGTACAAGTGAAAAAGCAGCCACTAATGTCTATTAAATTAGTCATTTTTAGAGAGTGTTAAGAGCTTATTATTGTTCATACAGTTTTGATATTTTTCTTACACATGAATCAATTCGCTGCGTTGGTACACTGGCATGCTCAGACTACTAAATAAGTAAAGCATGAACAAAAATTAATATAAACATAGACCACATTGTGGGTAAACAAAAAAATGGCTTTGTTCACTTTAACTAGGCACCAAAGATATTATCCAGGAAAGCCAAAATTTAGTAGCCTGAATACAATACCAAAACTACAACTTTTGATTACTCATTCCATATAAAATTTGAAAAAAAAGCCAAAACTGAAACAAGTGACATAATGGTTTATGGGCGACCAGTAAATGGCAACTTGGAGGGTTTTTTTAAGAAAAATATTCCCAAATAAAATACAAAAATGACCCATGTGGAAGCAAGGATTAAAACATTTGTTTCTATACAATTGTGGAACACCCTAACACCTACAGGCCTTCAGTGAATTCAATTCCAGCCTCGAAGTTTATTGACCACGTCAAACTAAAACTAAAATTTTAACAAATAGTTTTTTGAAAATAAGAAAGGATATTAAAAAATTGTGGAAAAAATACCTTGCAGTTTGATCAAATATTGAAAAAAACTGTTGGTAATAATTTTTTAAAAACCTGATGTACTTCTGTAGAATTGTGTACATTGTTAATATTTTTAATTACCTAATAAATATTAAAACAATAAAATTTAATTAACTATTATTTTTAAAACCGCAAGGACATGTACATTTTTTTAAATCTTAACCAAAATTATAAAGGTGTTTTTTATGTGTTAAATGCTGTAAAGATGGGTAATAGGTATTGTTATTTTTATTTTAATATACAAACAAAAATTAAATTAAATTTTAGACAATGTTTTAGAAAACAAATATTTCGGATAATTGCAAAAATTAAAACAGGTTATACAAAAAACAACATAATCTATTAAAAATTAATGTTTAAAGCCGGACAAAAATATTAAGGAATTTCAGACAAACAATGAAAACAAATAATTTAGATATTAGAAAAAAATACAAAAGTAAACTTGCTTTTATTCAAAAAAAATTAGTCTAAAAATCGTCAAACATGTTAATTCAGCAATATTTTTAAAGCTTAAAATATACTTTCAATGTTTTGAAAAATGCTTCTTTAATTTTGTGTACACTGCTCAACAATTAAACTGGATAATTATAATTATCCTAAAATTTGAAGTTTTAACTTTCTTGTTCGTAGGTTGATAAAGTTTTCACTTAGTAACAGTAGATACAAGAATGAGCTCAGTTTTATAAAAGGCATTGCTAGAAATAATGGTTTTGAACCCACCCTGGTAGATAAGTTGGTAAATAAAATTAAATTTAAGTATCGCCTTTCTAAGTTACCGACTTTTCAAACAGAGCCCACAAAAGTCCAGTTTATGACTATTCCTTTCGCACCCCAGTACACGCGAGGTCTGAAAGTGAACTGGACTTTTAAATTGCTTTTAGTTCAAGCAGCAACACACTTCAGACCCTTTAAGGCAACCCCAAAGATGATATTCCTAAAATTTAAAAGTCTGGGATCTTCGAAATAAACTGTCAAGATTGTGACAAGAAATACGTTGAACAAACTAAACGATCCATCCAAGTTTTCAAGATTCACAAAGCACTAGGCCCATGCTAGATTTGGTAGGATTGAGAAATCGAATGTTGCCCAACATTTGGTCATGGAATAGGATTTGACAACCTTATACTTATTAAGAAGGTTAGGGAACCAAGTCTGCTAGATAGTTATGAAAGTTTATACATCTATAAGAATAGAAATAAACTCTTTAAATAGCGATAACGGACCGGTACCCAACTCTAGTTTGTATAAATTAGTTTGTTAGTTTCTCTTTACGTGTTCACTGAAGCGATTACGGTCCAGGGTTTAGTAAAATGTGTCCGTTTACGGTTCAGTCAACCTTAGCTTATAATTAGTATAAATATGGTAAATTTAGCATTTAGATTTAGTTACACTTCGCTTCTGAAGATGAAAACATCGGTGGCGTAAAGTACTTTGTGTTTTGTTTTGGTGTTGGGGAATATTTCTAATATTTGTTTATCAAAATTGAAAGTATTGTCTTTTTTCTGACTAGTCAAGATTCCGTTTATATACCTGTGATGGTCCAATATTAGCCAATCACTCCTTGTGGTGGCGGATTAGTTTGCGTATGGGGAGGCATTTGTTTTGATGGCCGCACTGACCTACTAATCCTTATTAATGAAACCATAACCATATCTTCTGAGATAAGATAATTGTGCAATTGGCAGGTGCAATAGGCAAAATATTTGTTATTATCGACGATAATACCCGCCCTCATCGGGCACGGAATAGAATAACATGGGATTACAAAAATGGAATGGCCAGCACGTTCACCAGACATTAATTGCATTGAACACGTTTGGGCCAAAATGTCCAGTCAATTCAGTGGGCTTCAACAACCTTTCCAAACATTGCAACACATGGCCAATGACTTGCAAGCAATCTGGCATAACAAACGAAACTATATTAATAATTTGATCATAAGTCTTTCAAACAGGGTAACAGCATTAAGGCGAACCAGGGGTGGTACACGATATTAAACTTTTATATAGCTGGTTCAAATTCCAGCAATACAAAAACTTATTATTATTATTATTTTACTTTTCTTAGTTTTGAATCTTTTACTTTAATTTAATAAATGTTTTTTAAAATTCTCTTCAATTTTTGATCAGTATACGAGGTTTGTTCAGAAAATAACGGGAATTGTTAAATTTCGCGGGTTCAGAGGGTCCGGTTGTCATAAAATTTATTATGTTGGTATACATGCCCCCGAAGTATGATAAAAACTTTAGCTGTTTTCATTGTTTACTTTGTCTGTGGCAGCCGCTAAGGTTAGACGTGTTTTATAAGCTCGGCGATTTTTCGTTCGTTAAAAGAAATGGATCAAAGAATTTGTATCCAATTTTGCTTAAAAAATGATATAAATTCTGTGAAATGTTAACAAAGGCCTATAGCGAGTCTGCTATAAGTAAGACAAGAATTTACAAGTGGTATAAGAGTTTCCAAGATGGCCGTGAAGACGTTGAAGATGACGAACGCCCCGAACGCACAAGCACATTAACAACCGATAAAAACATGGAAAAAGTGGTAGAAATGGTTATAAACCATCAGAGAAGTCGCTGATGATGTTGGTATATCGATTGGCTCATCCCATGAAATTTTTTCGAATGTTTTGGGTATGAAACGCGTGGCAGCAAAATTTGTTCTAAAATTGTTAAATTTTGAACAAAATTGTTGACCAAAAACAATACTGTAATGATGCCCCAGCCTCCATATTAGCCAGACATATCTCTGTCTGACTTTTTCCTATTCCTAAAAATAAAGAGAACCTTAAAGGGCCGTCGTTTTGCAAGCATAGATGACATTAAAAGTGCATCGCTGAAAGAACTTTTAGTTCTTTCAGCGATGCGCTATCCCAAAGATCGAGTTTTAGAAGTGTTTCTAGTATTGGAAGAAAAGCTGGCACATGTGCATAATATCCAATGGGGGACTCTTTTGAAGGCGACAAATAAATAAATATTTGTTTCAAAAAACGAAAATTCCCGATATTTTCTGAAAACACCTCGTAAATTAAAAAGAAGCTTCACATATTACCTTATAAAGAAAAGATTCGAACATGCTGAAAATATTAATGTAAACAATCGAATAAAAAACGTCATTGAGATAAATTACCACAATTTTTAAAATAAAATATATCAAACCCTGTGACATATGAAGGTTGGCATTAAATCCATAAAACTAAAAAACCCCAGAAGTGATTCAGAATTCAGAATACAACAGGTAACCGTGCACGTTTGAAGAATACTTATTTAAAAATTATCGCAACTTTACATATTATACTTATAAATACAACCTTAACTGTTTCTCAATGAGCGTGAAAGTGATTAAAGATTTTTGTTAATTATAATTACAATTAATAATTACAATTTGTTTAGATGTTTACCTCACAACATAATCTATGTAAATAAATAGGAAATATATGTAAAGCAAGGATATCCAATAGTTTATTATTATCGATTAATACTATGATTTTTTACTTCAGTTAAAAAACTGACATTTGTCAGGCAGTTCTTATATCACTATTGTAATTTACCAACCATTGAAGAAACAAATGTCTTAGCCCTATCTCCTGAACTGCATCATTTAATAGGTGCAGTTACAACAATTTTTAACTCACTATAAATAAAATTTTTCAATAT